GGGCGGATGGTACCCATGGTGCTCTTGGCGATGAAGGAGCTGAGGATAGAAGGTACTGGTGGTGCTCCTGGCGATGAAGAAGTTGAGGGCAGAGGCAAGCGTTGAAGGTGCTGATGGTGAATCCCAAATCTGTAAACAAACAAAAATATCGATTAAAATTTATAAACATATAAAAAGTCTCAATACATACCTTAACAATGTAACTAAGTCGCTGCTGTTTTGCAATCTCAAAGAAGAAATTACATAATAATTAAATAAAATTGTTAAATACGTATCCTTATCTTAAAAATTTTCGCAAAGTGACATTTCTTCACAGTATGTATACTGTCATCAAAACTCCGATGTTTCAAACTTGCTCGCTCTAACGCATAGAATTCTTATTAGAGTACGAATTCTTATCGGGTCCCTGCAGTACTGCTGGAGTCAATCGCTACTTTTGAACCGCTACTGCACCGACTCCTAGGTAAGTAGCTACTCTATTAACCCGTGGTAGTGCACATGGTGGTGCAGAGTCGAAGCAGAATAGCGAAAAACTACGACAGAGGGCGCCCATAAATCACGCAAGTGACTACTTTAGTAACTCCCGGTAGTGCAGAGAGAGCCGATGGTGACTACCGCCTAGGACATTGCCTTGTAAAAGTAATCGATGGAATACACTGCACGTAGTCGGTCGGTAATTGACGGTGTTTATTAGGTAGCTACCGATTCAGCAGTCCTGTAGTCACTCCCCCGTACTGCAGTGGTATGTAGCTCTAACAAAGGGACATTTTTTTGACTGGTCGAACAAAAAATTTGTAAGTGTGTAGGTGAGATGCCTAAAAAGTTGTGAATGTGTTTGTAAATCGTTTGATTTTCAGGGGAAAGTGGTGAGCCGTGGCTGGCAGGGGTATTGTCCGGTGTTAACCTTAACCCGACGTTTACATGAGACAATTTTACCAAGACAATAGCAATAAATTCACATTTTTTCACTAAACACTCACACAAAGATAATTGTCTTCGTGACTGTCTTTGATTTTTCGAAGACAGTGAAGTGGACAGTAAATTGGACAATTCGGTCATGTCTTGGTTAATCTGGGAAAAGAGGTAAGATAAAATCGCAAAACTCGCCGAATTATGAAAAAGTTGTTCGTGTTTGGATATTTTAGTAAATAATATGAAATTCACGCCAAACGACAATAACGGCGATTGCTGAAAAATGTATTGTCTTTATAATTGTCTGCGCGCCTACTTTACACAGCAATTTCACAACTAATACATATTCCAATTGTCTTGTCTCAAATTGTCATATGTAAGCGCAGCGTAAGTAATAGATAATTGTTACAAATTAGCTCTCTTTCTTAATAGATAATTATCACTAATTTCTGCTGGAAAGCGTTTCCTGACCCAAAAAACTAGCAGAAACTATCAGCTCTCCCTTGTTCTTACGCTCTTACCAACACTGAAACCCAAAAAATTCTATAAATCACTTGCACTCCTGCCAGAACTTTGTAATTTAGATTTTAAATCTATTATTTTGGATTAAAATATAAATTATAACAACACAATATCTCATAGAAGCAAAAATTGTCATGTGGAACTGTCAAATGTACGAAATAAACAATATAGCAAAACGAAATCAAGGCGAATTTATACAAGGTGGTGTTGTATGATCAGCTGATTTCTTCGGCTTACATGTATTTTGTTTTTGCTTTTACTGATTTGACACCACACCCATCTAAAGCAAAAACAAAACACATGTAAACTTTGGGGCGAATTAAGATTTGACATAACACCCGCAATACAAAATATATGTGGTTGTTGTTGTTGTTGTAATCTAAATTCGCCTTGAACGAAATTATACAAGGTCGTGTTATACCATGTCCCCACCGAAGCTAACCACGTAGTTATGGCTATTGAGTTGGTTATCCCGATAACCCACTTGTTTTAGCGTAGTTTCGCCATATAAAAATGACAGCACTTAACCATTTCACTGAGATGGTTAAAAGCTAACCAACTCGAAACCACGACGAAAGTCTGATACAACCCTGTGTTTGCACGCCATCTATGGGTCATTAGCGTTAAAATGTGAAGAATTCGTTCCCTACTAGTGGTTGGACTCGACTAAAATCAATCAAAGATTTACTCCGATTTTTGAAAAAATTTGAAATCTACTCCTCTACTCCGCTTGACTTCAAATCTATTCCGTTTTTTTCATTCATGCTATGCCCCTCTTGGTGCCGTTTTTTGAGTGTTCACCACCGGTTTCAGTTAAAAAATTGAAAGTTAGCCAAATCTCACTGTTAAAAAGTAACTCTTTCATAGCAATGCGTCAATAAAGTAACATCGTTATTCTTTGATGTATGGCTGCACAAATTGGCGGATGCAGAACTTTACTTAAGTTGTTAAAAAATATATGAGGAATGAAATTTATATAAAGTAGAAAAGGTTTGCTTTTTAAAAAATTAAGTGTTAGATACGTTCTACTATATTTAAAATGCTAAAAATTACCTAAATATGTAATATATTATCCTTATATTGCCTCGCGTTCTTATTTTGCATGAGTAGAAAATATTTTAGTCAAACAGTTAATGTCAGAAACAAAAATAAAAAATTCAATCTAGTACGGAAAATTGGTTTTTGCTCCGATTTTTGCAGTAATTTAGTCCTGAATCGATTTGGGGCCGAACACTGTTCTTTACATTTGTACTGTTTTCTAAACCTCAAACCGCAGTGTGGACAGCAATAGTTAGTGATGTGGTTAAGTTCGATTTGAGATGGTTAACTTTTTGGTGGGGACATGGTATTAGGGAATTCCCTAATTGAAAGTACATAACTTAGGGTTTACACCATGATAAAAATATAGTAAGGTAGAACCGCTGAGAGTCACTTTTAAAATTCTTGACGTTTCCAAACAATTTAATTTTTAAATTTACTCACAAACTCACACACACATTTTCATTTTCAATCTCAAGCAACAACAACTTCGAACAATTTCAGTTTTTTATTTTCACTTTTATATGATTTTAAAATGTTGGCAAACTTCAAAAAAAATCATGGCCGACAAATTGAGAGAACGGTTCTACCTTGCTATGTTTTTATCATGGTTTACACCGTACACTACTGTCATGCCAATAACAATACGTGCACAGTTTTTCACTAATCCATACGTCACGGAGACAATGATCAGCGTTTTTGACAACTAATACGTATATCTTATTTCTCTTGACAGCATTGTCCAATGTAAACGTGCCGTAAACAGGCTACTCAAGATTCCTTAAAGCACAAAGCAAGGCGCATCTATACAAGGTGGTGTTACTTGAACAGCTGATATGATATTTTTGTCTCTACACTAGTACAGCAGAATGTCATCCAAGATGTAATGGTGAAAATTATCTTCTATTTTCCTTCGTTTTGAAATCCTGATGTACCAAAAGGCAATAACATAATACACAGGACTTTTACTTATATGCAATTGCTACCACCTTATATGGATGCGCCTAGGCACAAAGCAAATACAAGCAACATGTAAACACAAAACTGCTGGTATGCACTTTGACACTTTATCCGGAGAAAAAGTCCGGGATGTTTCGGGAAGGAAGAAGAACACACGATCAAGTACATTCAAATTTTCTCTCTATTACCCCTTTAGTTTAGTAAGGATACGTTTAATGGCTGTTTTGACATCCCGCGGGATCTACGTTGTGTACGGGAAAGAACTTAACCCCACGTCTCCATTTTTTATCGACGACTTCGACTCCATGCATATAACAGGGAGTCGGTAACGTCGATAACTATGTTTAACCGGAGATTAGTGTTAACCAGACATTGAGTAACCGGCCCTAAATGTGTCTTAACATCTGTCAAATTTCTGTCTTAACTCTGTCGCGTTTTCTCATGTGGGCAACTTGCGGTAAAATGAAAACTCAGTTGTCAAACTACGAAATGACAGCTGATGTTAAGACAGCGATGGTACCAAATTCGGCAGGACAGATATGGTTTAACAGTGGAAATTTGCGGGTAAAAGTGCACTTTAGCTTACATGGCCAGCAATGGACGAACAATTTCGAAAGTGCTACGCCGAAAGATGTTCTCTGCAAAAGGTGTTCAGCCTCATATCCTCGCAAAACAGAAAGAGAATTCTACGTATTGAAAGTTATAATCCCTAAGTGCGGCCGCAGGCCTCCTACGCAAAATGAGTTGCACACACAAACACTTCATAAATACAAGAACTCAAGCCTAAATAAAATGAATTTAAAAGCTGAACTATTTATAATAAAGTGCCAGCAATCGTTCATATTTATGATAACTTAACAAGATTGTTGTGCGGATTTTCGCTTCCGGAATATTGCAATTAAATAAATAATTTTGCACATATGTTTTACTTAGTACATCACAAATCTACAAAAACAAATAAATAGGTGTTAAGCTGTGTTCATTCACTCGATTTATTTGCAAGTGTTTTTTTAAATAACTCTTTTATTAATTAGGAAATTTAATTTCCGATTTTCCGGGTTATTATTATTGGCGTTAAAACGAGTCGATTGATACCATTCTCGAAATTTTTCGTCCATTTTTGGCCATGTAAAAGTGTGTTTGCATTGTTCAACTTTGCGTTCAACATTTGCGTTCAACTCAGCGCAGGGTTGCACGAAAAAAAAGTTGAATGGCTAAAACTATCAAAATATGAAAAAATATCAAAATATTCGCCATAAAAAGGTGTTTGCATTATTCAACTTTGCATTCAACTTTTGGTTGAATGGCCTTTCAACTAATCGCTTTCAACAAAGTTGGTCGCCAGCCAACATTTAGGCATTCAACTTTTTTTCGTGCAACCCTGCGTTGAGTTGAACGCAATTGTTGAACGCAAAGTTGAATAATGCAAACACTGCTTAAGATAAAGTGCACTACTACCAATTTGCGGTCTCCACCTGACATTTCTGTCTTACCACGGCGTTTTTAACAGAATCTGTAGAACGTGGAGACATGGGGTAATATTACTATACAGATTCGCAGTCAATAAATAGTGTTCGTGTAGCAGGCGACTTACAATCAGCTGACTGTGTAAACAAATGCTAGTTTTCGCTTTTAGTATTTACAAAGAAACTAGAAAATTTTAGAAACTCTTTTCTGGAAGATTTATCTGAAGTCAGAATCGTATATTTGAAATAACGCATATTCAATAAAACCAATGTAGTTTGAAATATTTTGGTTTGATTACCTTGGTCGGATCTTTAATAAGGGGGCGTAAGATGTGCTCTACTCTGAGCAAACCAGAGTCGCGCTTGGCGGTAGTTACATTTTTTGCAAGAACACATCCCGGGGATGTATGCGGCACCAACGGATTACCACTTACACCAAACTCCATTGCAATATTAGGGCGAGCTCAACGTTTAAAGGAGTTGAGAAATCCTCATTTGTGCCAATACTTAGATTTCGTACGTGGTAAGCACGGTACGTACCATTTGCAACTACACCTCTATGTTCTCAGGTGTATATTAAATATTATATCTTTTTTTATCTAATAGAACGCACAATTGTAGTTTCGGAATACTTTGGCACGACATTAAAGGAAAAATCTCGAGGTTCCCTAACCGATACGTTGGTATCCCGTATATTTTATCAGATTGTTTCCGCGCTTAGAGAACTTACACTGCATAATTTAGTCATACATAACTTGGAACCAAAAAATATACTGCTTGATGAGCGCGATAATGTAAAACTGTTCAATTACGGGTTATACCATATGACCAAATGTGGAGACTATGTTCCTTTTCCTATTGGGTGAGTATTGTTCAAGAGCTTAGCATCTACCGTTTTTACTTAAATGCAGGGACTGTAGCTGTAATGCTTCTTTCCACAACAATTAATAAATAATAGTTATTGTTTCACCGATATGTTTTCAGTCAAAATGAAAAGTTAAATTTTGACTTATTTCTTCGGTCATATATAAAAGTTAAAATTTAACTTTTATTTTTTCAGTCAAATATAGTAGTTTCGTCAAAAAATAAAACTTAAAATTTTACTGGTTTTTTCAGTGAAAGAAAAAAGTTACAATGTGACCGTAATATTTTCGATCAAAAATAAAAGTTAAAATGTCATTGCTAAAAGTTATTTGATTGTAAGCATTTAATGATGCATTACAAATGTCCCGATTTTTGTCCACAGAAATCTGGGGGAAACTTTCCATTATGGTCGTTCGTTAAAAGTGCGGTGGGCGAAGGGGGAGGGGGCGTGGCACCTCCAACCGACCTTTTTAGAGAGGGCATGAACCGCCATTGACAAAAATGCAACCCCCGACCTCCCAGGCCCCCTATGGTTCCCTACGGACCCCTTAGAAAAGTGGGCAAAAATCGCAATTTTTACTTGCGTCCACAGTATTTTTGCGTAGAATTGCTTTCTGCGTAGGCGGCCTTCGGCCGCGCTTAGGGATTATAACTCTTATTACGTAGAATTCTCCTTTCTGTGTGACCTAACTGGGGCTACCGCCCCAGTGATGTAACCTTGGGGAAGGATGAGGTAACTAGAATTCCCTTTCTGTGTGGAAAACCTGGGGCTGCCGCCCCAGTGATGTCTATTTTGGTTACTGGGTGTTTTATAAAAATGTCTTGTATATAAAAATGTGTATATAAAAATGTATTGTGCAAATGAATATTAACATTTTTCAAGCGAATAAACGCAAATGAAAATTGTGATTTTTGGCAATTTTTCTAAGGGGTCCCTAGGGAACCATAGGGGATCTAGGTGGTCGGGGGTTGCATTTTTGTCAATGGCGGTTAATTCCCTTTCCAAAAAGGTGGGTTAGAGGTGCCGTGTCCACTTACCTTTCGCCCACCGCCCCTTTAACGAACGGCCATAAAGGAAAGCCAACCCGAAATCTGGTCACCGTATGTATAATACTTGCCAGATCTCTTAGCCAGGGATACATTTTGTAGTTGTCCGGTCTGGTCGGTTCCAAAAATAATAAATATGTTATTAAAATGCGCCCACGTACCAAACTTCAGTCGGATATCTCTATAACTGAGCGACTATTTTGAGTTTAAAATGGCAGACAGACACACATACATACAAACAGAAGGTCATGGTTAGATCGACTCAGGTTTTGTCGTTGTATATAAAATGTTTTTAATGCTGGATTTCCACTAGGCTTTAAATGACAAAAATAACCAATGACAAAGTCGGGCACATGATACAAAAATTTGAAGGTAAAACCGCTGAGAGGCAGTCTGAACATTTTTGATGTTTGCTAACATAAAAAAAATGTTTTCAAATTTTCAATCTCACAAATACATTCTCACTTTCCGCCTTAAATAAAAGAAAATTTGAATATTTTCATCTATTTGTTTTTTGGTTTACTTTTATTTGGCATTTGAGTCGCTCTGAAAATTTCAATTTTATAAAGTAGACAAACTTCAAAAAGTAAATGATGGCAGACGAATTGAGCGAGCGGTTTTACCTTTAAATATTTGTATCATGGTCGGGCATTAAAAAAATCGTGACATTACATTAAAAAAATAATTTAAAAAAATGCCATGTGGAAATGAACTTAATGACTATTTTTTAATATATTGGGCACGTTCAGAAGCCGCAACAGCTCAGTAACTGTTGCCATTGCACCTTCTGAACGCGTTGTTGTGTACTTCTGATCAACTGAACAGTTGCGTGTTAGATGATCGTAATATTTTTCTGGTAATTTGAGACAACATGTTGTTGAGAGTTGAATTTGACAGCTAATGCATCAAGCCGTTCAGAAGACGCATAACGATCACTGATATTTTTAGCAAGCTCAACTGCTGCGCCTTCTGAACCCATGGTACAATAAAAACAGGTAGAAGCCAAATTGACATCGAACCTACAAAAGTCAAAGTTTTCGGGAGAGTAAAAATAAAAATGAGCGTGTGTAAGGAAAAACAAAAAATTACATTTCGCTGGTTGACGTTTTTGAGTAAATTTGAAGTTTTGTTTCTATTTATTTATTTTTTTAGTTAAAATTTGTTAATTTGTATGTTGTTTTATGTTTTTAATTTATGAGTTGCAGTGTTGTTGGAGGGACTTTCCGGCATAAGAGTCATAGGAACAGCACTTGGCATCAAACGTGCCTTTCCTGTACCTCCCGGTGCATTTATGAAATCTGCTGCTTTAAAATGTTTAACGCACAGCAAGGCATTTCGCTGCAGCTCTGGCCCACAGCTGCTTTCGCAACGCTCTTTACGCGAAGGACATTGAGG